ATTTGTAATACATAAAATATTGCGTACTTGAAATATAAGGGAGAGCATGCATGTATGTATGTTAGGTATATTTGTGCATGGTGGATGTCTGTTCGATTTGATAAAATAAATAACACCTGGTGATTCATACAATATCACGATTGTTGTCTGCCCATGGGCTGTTGGTCGTGACTATAATATTGATGATGCCCTTGCCTTTGGCTCTGGTATCATCAATATCATCGTCATGACCACCATCGCTTGGTCAGGCAATAAATCGTGATATTGCCCTCACAAACATGTGTTATTATTTAAACAAACTACGTCAACAGGCACTTAGCTGTGTTAATTATGCTCACCAGTATGCATGTAACAACATGACCAACTGCGAGTTGCAATCAAGCAGTTTCTTTTAGCAGTATTTGCCAATTGTGCATTCAACTAAAAAGTGAGCTATAACACTAGGTAGCTAGGTGTTTAATTTTAACTGGTCTGCAACATGTGTAGCAGCTGTATTGTTATTTGATAGTTTTTGGAAGTAATAGGGATTCATGACATAAAATTTAGTATTCAATTACATTATGTATTATACAGTTTTACATGAAATTAGAAACTTTCATAAAGTGTTTTTTTTTTTTAAATAACAGTTTACTGGTTGATGCATGGAACTGTTATTTTTGTACGCAAAATACTCATTAAACTAGACTGGATTTATTTTCAGTCAAACTAACTGCAGGCCCTATAGATAAAGTAGCTCACCCACTCAAAAAAGTTGAGATTTTCATTTTGTTATCAGCATTTTTAAGTATGCGCCAGTCTATTCAAAAAAAGTCTTTGTTACATATGATTTGATCAATATTGATGATTTATATAACTGTACTATTTTGGAATTTGTATACAATTTATGTTATATTATTCTATTCTACAAGATGTATCATTTGTTGTTAAAAGAGCAGAATTTCAGTCAAATTACTTTTCATGGTCAAAACAGGTTATGCTGATATATTAGCGCTAACAGGAATATTTAATAAATAAGTACATTGTTGAATTTTTTTAATTGGTTTTTTTTGGTTAAATTCCAATGTAATTACTTCATTGTTTGTGTTCATTTTTGATCAAGATTTTTTCCACCTAAATTTGTATTTTCTGCACAAAATTCAGTTCAGATATATGAATGTATTGTTGCTGAACTTAACTATTGCCCTACGTTGCTAGTTTGTATTATTTCTTGAATTGAATTCTTATTTGTTATTTAATACTGTAAAATACTTTGTTTTAGCTGGAATAAATTTTCGCTAAAATTTATTTTCATTGATTTTTTGACAAGTTGAATGTAAAATATAGGAAAAAGGAATATTCAATTTTATTTTCACTTAATCATTCCTTCAGCGAAAATAGTGAAAAATAATTTCAAGCGAAAATAAAGTATTCTACAGTATCTAGATTCTCAAGGGGGAAGGTTGTAATAGTCATGCTATGTTTTTTAAAGCCCCCTGATCGGGGTGAAAATGAGATTAGATGTATCTTTGACATTAAAATGAAACTTCAAACCACCAACCTCAAGACCTGTAGTATGTAGAGTAAAGCGAAACAGTAAATGGTATACATCACCACTTAGCAAAGGCTTTACCAGGAGTGATTCTGATGATCATGCTAAAGGTATTATAGGCCTACACAGCTTTAATGCATAACATAGACTGGAGGAATCAAATCAAACTTGTCTGTCACCCTAGATACAAAACATCATCAAATCATTCAGAATGTAGACATACAGCAGGTATGAGTTGTTTCTACTGACATGAACAATTGGGACAGAGAAGTCTATAAGTAAATATAGGCATTGGATATTGGAAAGGATCATGACAATCTGCAAATATACTTGGTAAATTCAGCCTTAAACAGTTGACTTGAACTCACAGTCAATGATGTAATGGGAACCAGAGTGGATGGTCTCTGATCCTAATTGTGCTGACATTGTAGAGGATGGCAGAATTCTATGTGTTATATCATAATGCTCGCTAATGATGAAGTAGCAGTTCTGGATGAAAGTCAAAATCCTGAAATCACTAGCAAGTGAACTCACAAGTTGCGCTGTTTTCTGAAATCCCACAGCTCTCTGATCACAAACCAAACAGCAGGCAAGAAAATCCTATGCCAGTATTCTAAATTCCCCAATTTTACCAAGCTGCTGGCAGGGAACTGAAATGGTAGTCAAGTTTGTTGAATGTCATCTAATTTTCATCCAATATATAGACATGTTTAGAAGAAGTATTACTAACCTAACAATAGGAGTAAACAGCTTAATAATAATCAAAATGGTGAAAACAATGGTAATAAATCAAGAACATACTGGTTATTTTAAACAAACTTTAAATTAAAAAAATACCTGTCAGAAAAATTTTGTTTAGGGACACCAATCTGGAATTGAAATGTTAAACTAGTAATATTGAAGACAAGAAAAACTTTATCCTTGACTTTTGAAAATTATCAAATAGACATTTTAATAAATCAAACAAAATACTACACTTCATTAAAATCAAGTAGCATGATGAAAATAGCAAAATATTTGTAAAGTAGATCTAGCAAACCAAGGGAGAAAAACAAATTTGGTTGCTTTGTTAGGTAAAATTCAATTGTAATTTCGTAATTTTTTTTTACTATACATATTCCATCGATGGTACAGTTGTTAGTAATAAAGTTAATTGAATTTCAACACAAAAAAGAGTGTTACTGTCAAAAACTAATAAAAGTGGTGCTTGCTTAAACCAAAGCTGAATTACTAAATTCTGAATTACTGGTAAAATTAGATATTAATTACTATTAATTTTTATTAAACCACATACAATTGTGGCAAATTATTCAATATTTTGGTAATTGAAAAAATGTGTAGTGCTACCACTGAGTAGTTTGTCCAGGTTGTATGATGAAAGTTTTAAAACTAAAAAATGTGAATGAAAAATAAAATCTATTGAGCATGACATCAACAAAATGTTAAAATATGGTTCAGGATTAGGTACTTAACCTCCTTCTCCATTTTCTGATTCAGCCAAGTACATTAAAGGGACTACCGGTATGTCATTGTCAATATATGTAATATGAGGTTATTACGAGAATACCTCAAAGTATGCACGAAGACAGTTCAGCGT